CTTTCCCTTTGTAAAATCCAAACTATAATTTTAGGAAGGAGGAGAGAGAAGGAACAATCTGTTTAAATAGGGAAGCTGGATATACAGAGCTGCTAGGCTCTGGTGCTCATTTTGACATTGACGCACATTTTTCTGACCAGAATTTTCAAGGTGAACATATACTTTGGATGTCACATTTTGAGGATACAGCACCTGAAATCTGCATTTCAGGAATTCTAAGCACTCAGAATTTAATTTCCACTGATAGGCACTACGATTGCTTAAGTCTTCTTTACATTAAATGTAAAACTCTCAAAAGAATAAGGCATTGGAGTAAGTGGCTGCTTACTTTTTGTAAATGCATTAAACAGATGTAGAATTTTCCTGTTCTACATTGCCACTAGGCTCTTTATAGTGCTGCGTATGTAGCAAAATATCAAAATTATAACTGATCCTTTGCAACCTTGATTTGTGACTCATATAAATGAACCAATTCTCTAAAATACACATTTGAGATTAAGTAATTGTCTAAGATAGTATTTTTTTTTTCCTCACAGTGGTACTAATTGGTTTTACTAAATATTATTTCTGCTATAGTTAAAAATTGTAAATTGGTAAAATATAAAGTTCTAGACTGTTTCACAAAACCATATGGATGTCTCATCTGGCAAATATTCAATGTAAGAGGAATGACCTTGATGGCGCAGACCACTGGAAAGACTCTCCACTGCTTGCTTCATTTTTTTTTCCCCTCCTTCTAGTGCCCAGCACAAGGGAGTGGAATGGAATATATTGGATAGGAGAATGTGTCTGATCCAAGGGCTAAGTATTTGGCTAGCCTGAGCTGTCAGGAGAGTTTTGTTGAGAACTAATAAGGTGTAAAATATCACACTATGAACGCACAGCAGCCTCAGAGCAATACGGAATAGTGCTGAGTTACATTAAGGCTGCTGATTATATGTAAATAAAAGCATTTAATTTGAGTAAGAATGGTTAACATGACACGTAAAGACTGACACTTTTTTCTTCTTGCTTTTGCTTTTTCCTCAGGCAAACTCTAATATTATTATTACTCATTGCCATACTAATCGAAGTTTGGCTGTTCCAAGGAACTTTTGGATAAGGTAAGAATAGTTTGCAATGGACAGGGACGTGCATAATGATGTGCCAACTCAATGCATCAAGAATAACTGTAAGGAACACCATCGTTGCTTTAGCTACAAACTGAGGAAATGAAAAAGAATGCAGAATGTACATTTTCCTTTCTTCCATTATATTCTTGGACTGTAGTGTGTGCCGTCCTGATCATGCAGACAATCAGCTCAGTTTCATTCATCTCTCTGCTTTCTAATTTATGTCACATCATGTTTCCAACCTTCCCTAGTCTCTTGCTTCTCTTTTTGAATATCTTGAGCAATTGAAGTTATTTTTGATGAAAAACTAGGATGCTAAGTAGTGTAATTAGTAAGAGAACTAAAGAGAAATAAAAACACAGTAGATCAAACCAGATGCTGCTTTTGTCCAAATGAATCTCACAATAAACTAAAGCTATACCAACGAATCAAGTTAATATACATGCATTGAATTAGTATTGACTAAGCATTGTTATGGAGTGTACCGATTGTTTCCCATTAAGTTCTAAGCAAGATTCCAGTAAGAAGTTGTATCAGGTATTTGAGGATAAAACAAGATCTGGTAAGTTGAGGTAGAAATGGTTAAGTAGGCACAGTTTTGCTCAGAAAGAGATTAAAAAGCTTTGAGTGACTTGCAGATAATAGACACTTGCTGAATTTTGGCGTATAATAACTCCTCCCTCACTTCCTCACCCTATTTCTCTTTTTCACTTTTCAGATCTTATTTTGGGATGGAATATGAAGTAGTTTGTCACACCTATCTGAACTCCCATAAAGCTGAAGAAGATAAGAATTACTGGATAATAGTTACAGGGAATCCTGTTGATGAGGAAAGTACTATGATTGATAGACCCAACCCCCTCTCAGGAGGGCTCAGAAAGAATAGTGAGCTTCATGAAGACACAGAGAATAGAAAAATCCCAGATTAGAACCTGATGAGATTGATTTCCGTTTTCTTCTGTTCAGATTTTAATTCTAGAGATGCTGATCTTAAAACAGTTAGTAATATAACAATCTCATTAACTCACTAAGGTTGTATAGTGGACAAAGATTGCCTAGTAAATTAGAGGAACCAGGCACAACAGCAAAAACCCATGCATCTAGGAGTAATCATTTTCCCTCTTTCACATACACTGATGCCAAAAGATGTCATAATGCAATAAATATAATATCTTTGCAATAAATTTGCAAATTTATGGCCTTCTGAGGTATTGAGCCAATTCTTCCAAAACCAAACTCATATCTCCTTTTTTAAAAGCATGAGTGTACACTAAAAAGCAGAAGCATGCCAGCTATCATGGGATACTTTGACATTTAAAGGTCATTCGAGAGAACCGTGGTTGTTGAGCTTGCTCTATGGTATCTAGCACAATGGTACCAGTTAAAAAAAATACAACCGAGTTCTCAATATTTCAAAATTGGGTTCAGATTCATGAGAATTAAAATAAAGATATATTTATTTTTTAACCCTTGTCCATGCAGTCTAAACTTGTAAGTGTTCAGTACTTCAAACACTCGACCACAGTGATGCAATCTTTTCCGTAGTCACAAAGCTTGCATAACCAGGCTCCTTTTGTCTTCCACTCTCAGAACTTTTCACTCCATAATCTTTTCAACCAAGTCTGACGGAAAGTCGGACAAGTTTCATGAAAATACATGCCAAGGTAGAAGAAGAACGAGAGCCCCTATAAGTTTGTCCAGTAAGAAAAAGATTGTAATCCATGTACATACCAGAGAATCCACATGAAAGAAAATTATTATAAATGACCCAAGCATGGAAAAAGTTTCAGTTGGAACTTGCATTTTCTTAAACATCAAAATCAATCAAGCAGGAGACACAAATACAGGGAAAATGATTATCATTACTTTGTAGAGCTACGTGTCTTTATATGAAAGCTGGAACTGCATCACAAGGGATCTTCTTAGAGAACAGCATTCTATTGTATCTCTTTACTAAATTACATTTCTGCTCCATTTCTTATTGTACTGGCACTGTAAAGGAACAGCAGAGTTTGTGAACATCAAGTAGGGGAACTTCTGAGTAAAATACTACACAAATCTCTATTCTCACAAGAGATTCCAAAGAACTTAAATGTTTATAAACTCAAAACTTAAAACAAGGTTTTACTGATACAACAACAGTAAACTTTCACAAAGCAAGGGACTGATGCAAACATATAATGACTTCCGACTCCTTCCCAGATAGACTACCTGTTTCAAAGCCAGTGGCAAGACTTCAAAAGTATTTGCCTTTACTCAATAAAAATGAATTCAGCAGACTGCGGAATAACCCAACTAACACTTGACATACAGGGTCTCAGAGCAGGGGACAGATTACACTTCTATGAAATGCAGCTTTAATGGGGAGAAGTCACTGAACACAGTTTTGCTTCACGCTGTCGGTGTGTGAGCCTTGATATTTCTGCTGTCGATGGGGTTCTGCTATTTTTTTAATCTAGCTAATTTGACAGCCTTTTTCCACTGGGTTAATTGTAAGAAACAAGGAGACCTTAAACCAAAACCACTGCTGAAACAAAGGCTGTGGATTCAGGCAGGAATGAGAACTGTGTGGGCAGAGAGCTTGGCTGGAGCTGGCTAATGTTGCGGATAGAAGTGTGTGTGTGAGAGTGCCCGCATGTGAGAGAAGCAAAACAAGTTTTGTACAGGCTCAGAACAAAACCAGAGATGAGCAGATACTGAAAGGAGTGCACACACAGGTGCTGGTTAAATGTGGCTTGGAACCTCTTGGGTGTTTCTCTGATCATTCTACAGTTGAGAGAAATAAATGAGATGGTTGGAAAAACGCTGGATTACTTTGTCGTTGGAAAATAAACAGAACTGTATAAATAACTCCAAGTAATACAGTAATTACTAATAGAGAGTAATCAAAATAATAATAAATAGTAATAAAGTAATTTGTGAATAACTTCTTATGGCACATAATACATGTCTGTAATTCAGCTGATTCACAGTGTTAAATGCAGATACTGATCTGTTACTCTTTCTTTCTTTCAAAATGTTTTTTAGCAGTTCTTAATATTGTCCACAAGATGGCACCATTTTTTTTAAGCAGAAAATTATTATTGATGCATATGTAAAACAGCCTGAAATATTTAAACCCAAATGAATCTCTGATACGATGCCACAAAAGTTAACCATGTTAAATTGGGCTTGAATTCTGGTATAGGAAATGTAATTAATACTTTATCCTGTTTGTGAAAAATAAAACTTAAGTCAAGCAACCAAGGTAGATAGAAAAATATGTAACACTTTATACAATCAATGTCTTTAAATTAATCAGAATAGTTATTAATATGTAGTAGGCAAAATTTTCTTTCATTTTCCATGTAAAGAAACAAAGCCTGACATATTTGGCAAATGATGCATGTAATTTATAGAGATACTTTGACTTGTAATGATTAATATTCTGCATGTTTTCACAATATGATTTACAAAATTTTTCTTAGATTTTGCATAAAATAAACTAGGCACACTCAGGCTGTATGAGTGCATTTCAATGTTCCTAGTTTGATCATTGTGGATATTTCTTGGTAAAACACAAGATTTAATATAAAGAATGATGGGATTGCCTATCAGCTCAGAATCCGAATAGTCCTAATACTGCCACTTAGAGACACAGTGTGATTTAATGGATAGGGTAATGGAGGACTGAACCATGCTCCAGGCCTGACCCTTTTGTAGCTCTGGGCAGGCACTATATTTTACTTGTCACAGTTTTGCACTCTGTGAAATATGGACAGCAATACTTGCCTCTTTAGCAAAGCACTTGGAGATATATCAATGAAAAGTAAGATAATAAGCTTTTAATGCATCATCCAAATTAGACCCAGTAAGAAGATGCCCACGAAGTACATTGTGGTCAGATAAAACTCACTTTGCCTCCATTTCAGGCAGCTCAAAGCTGCTAGCATAAAGTTGATCCTGAGCTATTAGTCCTTGCTGAGGGACAGTGCGGAATTAGTTCAGATTCAGTGCTCACTAATACAACTTCTCCTAAGTCTAAGGAACAGCCAGAACTTGCATGTGTATATACTACACTGCGCAGACATAAGCAGCACAGCGTTGAAGGCAAAAAGAGGTATGGATAATTCAAAGAATCAGCAAAGACAGGTATCCTTCATAGCTTAGCTAATACAGAAGTAATGCCAGAAAATGAAAATCCAGCTTTACATCTGCCTTTTCATTTTCCCTCTCTTCTGCATGCTCCCCCAACTTATATTTCACATCACCTCTCTTCTCCTCTCCTATGTCTCCTAGCCAAAAGTTTCTGATTTTCAATGGTTATAAAGTGCTCTGCTGGCACTTAGCACGAGTCCCTGGCCCCTCACTAATCACATCAGTATCTTCAGAGACTGCTTTCCTGTCAGGGATTGGCATGAGAAGTAGTTTTGGCCCAGCCACTGATCAGAGGAGGAGACCATAAGGAGAATTAGTAACTGAGTAAGACGTCTGAAAAAAAAAAAATGCAGAGAATGTTACAATAGGAAATTCCACATAGAAGTGAAAGAAAATATTTAAGCACCGGAAAATTTGGTGAAGTTGGAAGGTGAAAGAGTGATTTTGATAACATCTGTGCCCATTCACCTTAAGTTAATATTGTGCATCTGTTCTAAAATGAGGAAGGGGATTTCTTTTAAGACCGAGCTCTTGCTTGGACTTTGTAATGCATAAAAATTAAACTAAGGGGGACGTGGAATAAAAATATGCATCACATGACATGAGAAATACATCACATTCAAGTGGAAATTAGAAAATCTCTGTTTCTGTTCCATTTTAGCTTTGTCCCAGCTCTGGCCTCCATTCACAGCCTTATCTTCCCCTCCTTACCCCTATACAGTGTATGGAAGGACAAGGCACTCCCTACTAGCTCCCTTCTTCACGCTGTTTGGCTTCATCCTGCAGGCAGTAAAAGGGAATCTAATCTCCAGTACTGCATTTCTCCAGACAAAAGGAGTGAAAAGACCCATCACTTTGCTGGATGTGTGTTATTCCTGCAGGAATATGAGCAGCAACAATATGCCAGCTGTAGGATTTGCATAATAGTTATAGCCTTGCTTCTAGTGACAGGGATGCCTTGCCACAAAGACAAAGGGAAAGAAAGACTCCCATTTTATTTGTACATATGGAGGGGAGGGGATGAAGCAATTGGCACTTGGATTTCTTAATTTTTTCCTCCCTTAGGCTCATATAATGCAACATTTTTTATGCTAGAGAAAGAAATAATCATTTGTCCGCTAGGAAGCACTGTCAAAACACAGTTCCTCTGGCAGGATCTCTATCTTTTAGCAGTGGAAAGTGGACTACTTATAGTAGAAGAGGCACAAACATTATAAAATGCCTGATGACATTAATACTCACATTTGTGGATGAAATTAATTCACGCACAAGCATTTCTGTTCTATATACATACAAGACCCTCACAGAGCTTATTTCCAACATCTGTTAAATGCTGCTTCATACGGTAAGTCAAAACAAAACTAAACAGACCATCCAGTCACAGGCCAGCTAGTTCTAGCTAGTATTTCTACAATGCTGGCCTTGTTTTAATTATAGGCTCCTTGGGGCAGGGACCCTATCTCCATCTTTTTTCCAAACGCAAACAATTACAGAGGAGATGTTCAGCAAGTAATAGCCTAAAGCTATTTTGAAAGTAGTCATGAGATGACAGGAAACTCAAGCAGAGCTGGTGCAAATAACCAGAGATGGAGGCAAATGAAATCCACACACACAACAGCACCGATGAGCAAACTCTCCGTGTGGGGTACAAAGATGCAGCTGCCCAAGCAATTCTGACGTTAATAGGAGTTGCTAGGAGAAGAGCCTGCAAACCATAGTGGGTCTGACAAACCCACAGTGGGGAGAAAAATTATAGAGAGCAATGTTTATTTTTATATACATATTTAGTTTT